ATTCTGTTATAGTTTATTTTATATTAAGTCTATTGTAAAGCGCTTTGTGACAGCTGTTGTGAAAGTGCTTTATGAATAAAGATGTATTGTACTTTTTACATTTCTTTTCATAACAAACTACCAATTTATTTGCTATACTGGGACAATTTAGAGCTGTGGTGCTGGATAAGGCACCAGACTTGGGCACAACCTGATTTAGAGTCCTCAATGTACCCAATGTGCATGTATTTGGGATGTGAGAAGAAACCACTGCAAGCATGGGGAGAGGACACAAATTCCACACAGGAAGGCCAGAGTTGACATTCCAACCCGAAAATTCTCAACAATGAAGCAGAAGTGCTAACCACTAGCGCACTCTGCTGCCCTATAGATAAATCCATACCAATCAAAAAAAAAAAAAACTGTTGCGAAGAGGGTGCACACAAACATCAAACCACACAGATAAAAATATAACCTTGATAATATTAAGAAAACATTACTAGCCCATAAACCTTTCAATCTTTTGTAATAAGGCCTGTGTCATTTTCCGTTTACAGTATCAGTGCCATTAACCGAATGCTCTGCACGCATAACGTGCCTTGTTTACTGGTGCGCCTGATCGAGTGCTGCCCGTGGAGCCGCTGCACAGCAGGTAAGCGTCATCACGCCGCTTGTGTGCTTTGCTTTCCTCTTTCAGTCTATCCATCCATACTCTCGCTCACTATCGACACCCCATGCAGGCGACACGGAGAAGTACATCAATGGCAAATGGCAGAGGATACCAGAGGAAGACCGCCTGAAGATGACCAAATTGGATGGGCAGGTCTGGATTTCGCTGTACAATCTGCTCCTTAAAGAAGACTGCCAACGAAAATATGACTTCAACAGTTTCAACAAGAGTCAGCTTCTAAAGGTGACGTATTCTATATGAATTATGCCTTCATGAGCTTCTATAATGGCCACCCATGCATGTGTCACTCAAGTCCTCCTGCTTTTGGAGGAGAAAGTTATACAGTGGTACCTCCCCTTACTGGTAACCTGACATGCAGGTTTTTCCAGATGTGAGCCATTGATCAGAAGATTTTATTTTTCCTCTTGAAGATATGGATAGTTGAGCACAAATGGTGAAGCAAAACCCATTGACCGACAATATAATCTATATACTCTGCAAAAAAAACTACTTACTACTACAGTTTATTCAACAGTCGTCACTGTCTTCATCAGTTATTTGCGTATGTTTACATTCCACTGCCCCTCTGTAGCTGAGGCGAGCACACCCGGAGCTGCTCGATAAATTAAAGCATGAAATCATGATGCATAACCTATTTAATTCTATTTCATTCTGATATTACTGTATGATTTGATAACGTACAATACTGTAGAGGGCCATTTTTTTCATTAAAGCATGTTACAAAATTAATCGGATTTTATGGGAGAGCTGGAATTGTCTTGATCTGTTTTTTTGTGTCTGAGTTCCAGCTTGAGCGTTGGGCATTTCATGCCAACAGTGCACCTGGCTTGCGTCATGATTATGTCACGACTTTCATGATTTTACTCCATAGTTTTTTTTGCCATATTTTTGTATTGGTTCAAATAAATCGTGTTTTGGTTCTTACTTTATTCATGGTTTGTACCATACATGTTTTGAGTCCTCTTGTCCTTTTGAGACAAGCTATTTCTGTTTATATTCTCCTTGCCTTTTGCTAGCGCTTTTTTTTTTCTCATTTTATCCTGGTTTATTGTAATTTATTTGTACTTTGTCGGCTTAGCACCTTTTTCTGTCATTAGAATATTTTTGTCAAAACCTTTATCTGAGTATACGTTTGGAGATTTTGATACTGTCCGCAACCTTCCAAACATCCTGCCAGGAATGCATTTATGGCATATTTCAGTTAACCAATTTCTATTTAAGGGTGAAAACCTTTTGCCCTTATGATGTGAATTTGGGATTTTTGTTCGCTGTAGGCAATGATTATTACAATCATTTTTAAAAAGTCGTGAAATAATTCTCTCTGTATATGGGATCTATACAAAATATGTTTCACTTATTGAATCACACTACTGAGATATTTTACACAATATTCATATTTATTAAGCTGCACCTGTTTATGTAGTGACTATGGCAGCATTTTTCTTACTTGTTTGCTTTCTCGAAACTGTTTTGACCAAGGAGCTTCCTCCTATTATACGTACCTTCATCCACTTCCTGTTAATGACACAAACAGATGAGCGTTTTTTTCTAGCACCATCGACTTCCTAATTCTATCTAGTGTTAGATGTAGTGTTCGTGGTGATGATAGCGGCTTTACACTAGCGTGCGTCCTCTTTATGTTTCACAGCTGCGCAGTTTCCTGACTGAGGTGTTAATTGACCAGCTGCCCAACTTGGCCGAGCTCCAGCGCGTCCTGGCTCATCTGGCAGTTACAGACCCCGAACCTCCAAAGAAGGAGCTCGTTTTAGAGCAGGTACGTTTGGAGTGGTACAATTTGGAGTACAGTACTGTATACCAAGATTCTGTCTCTCCAAAGTGGTTTTCCCGCCATCTACTGGCATCTTAATGCAAAGGATTTGATGTGAGCTGAGGAAATTTCATTTAGGTAAAGTAGTCCTTTGCTGTTATCTAAAGGCATCTTATGGGCAATTAAAAACTTTTTTTGAGGGTATCAATTAATGATTTTCACAAAGAAAAAATGCAATATATTAACAATGATTAACTCCACTTCGTTCTCAATGAAACTTTGTATTCACCTTCTGCTTCTCTTCACGTGTAGATCCCTGAAATGTGGAACCACATCATGAGTGAGAATTCCAGTAAGTGGAAGGCCATCGCCAAGTATCAAGTCAAACAAACATTCAATGCCTCTGAAAAGGACCTGAGGTTGCAGGCACAGAGGTAAAAAAAAAGACTTAAAGGAAATGAAGGAACGTAAGGGCTTTCCTTTGCATGGGCATGAATAATGGTTGTCTTGGACCAGGTTGGCTCAGACGTACAATTTGGACGTGATGGAGAGTTTACTTCCAGAGAAGCCAAAGTGTGGCTGTTGTGGGAAGGACGCCGCGAAGAGATGCTCTCGATGCCAAGGGGAGTGGTACTGTCACAGGTAAGGCCATCGACATAAATTGATAGTTGTCTTTTGATGTCACCACTGTCAAATGATTGTTCATCTCTTGGATGCTATTTTTAGAGAATGTCAGGTGAAACACTGGCCAAAACATAAGAAGGCCTGCCAGCTCATGATGGAGGCCAACAAGAGGACTCAGGCTGAACTGAGCAGTCACAACAAAGAATGATGAACTGACAAGAGTGTTTAGAAATGGACCAGACAGAACCCAGACCTAAATCCTATTGAAAATCTGTGAGGTGACTTGCTAAAGAAATATAGTTCTGATTGGGACTTTTTCAATTTTCATGTTTTGTCAACAACTTCCTGATTGGTTTAATAAACTGCTTCATTTGTTCCATAGGAAATGTTAAAATTCATGACTGGATTTTTTTTGTTTTCTTTTAACATGCACATCCATTGCCGTGTCACATTACTACATTTGCCCAATGTAATGTGCTCAAATGTAAGAGCTGGATCACAAATTCTGTCTTTCCAGGGGTAATGTGAGAGTGTGTCTGTGGAGGTCTGTTCCAAATTTTTAAAAGCAGTAATGTACAGTTTGTGAATTGAATTATTTTTGCCTTATAGTAGATGTCACCATAATGGATGTGAAATCCAACAATCAAGTTTACGTGTTAGGCTTTAATTTGAGGGTTCATGCACAAAATAAAAATCCATCTATTTGTCTGTCACACTGGCATACTATCAAAGATTTTGTGGAACCCCTGAAATTAAACAATGCCTTTCACTTACTCAAGACAAAACTGAAGGCATACACAATTCCGTCCCCTAGGTTGGACTATTCTGTTTTTATTCATTAAAAGGTGTTGACAGGATTTATTTATTTTTAGTCCCTTTTTTGTGTGTTGCGAAATTAGCAATCACTATACCGGTAATTCGGATACCTTTAGCAAAAACTTTTCAAAAAAGCAACTACTGATTAAATTCCTTTTAAGAATACATGCATGGAATCAATTTTACATTGCTCTCCGTATGACTAGATTGAAGCCATGCACTGAACATTGCCCAGGATAAGGCACCCATTTTTATGATCCAAAAGCGACATAATTGGTATATGGGTGCTGTGATGTCATTTTCAGTCGACAGTGACAAAATAGCTAGCTCCTGAGATGGATTAAAACGGGTGGATTTTACCACTTAATTTATACTCCACAAATGCAATATTAACCAGAAGGCCATGTTTAGACTCGTGTTTGGGACATAGAACATTATTGTCGAAGAACATTTTTGACCTGACTTTCCCATGAACCACGGTGCCGTGGCCCAAATTGGTGCTGGAAGACGCCATCTAGTGGTCAGTAAAATAATTTCAATTTTCCACCTCTGGGTCGTGGGACAGCGTATTTTAATTACATTAATACAAATGTATGTTGCTGTTGACAAGGAGATGCTCAATTACAATTAAGCTTCCTGCCACCAGGTGACAGTAAGGTGTCAATGCCAAACTGCACCAAAAGGAAGAAGCACTGAAGGTTTAAAAACGCGTCATATAGAAACCAAACACATAACACTACAAAGTTTGGAGAATTTTTTGAAAGAAAACATCAGATAAACATCATAAAAGTCATCACAAATCATTTTTTTGAATTTGCCTCGAGCCATTTCACACAGGACACGCTGGGTCCTCAGGTGAAAAAAAGAGTTAAGAAAGCCCATTAGAGCCCCTGAGAATGGAAAGTACTCTGAATAAAATGTTTGTAAATTAATCATTACAGTTCAAACCCATTGTGGAGGTGTGTAAAGTCAATCACTGTGCAAATACTTGGACACCGTATGCCAAGTTTTGCTCATTTATCAACGAAGTGGGCTTTCTCACTGTCCCCTCCAGGGCCTGCTTGAAAACATCCCGGATGTTGCTGCAGTTCATCTGCTGATGCTTCCTCCTCCTCTTCCTCCCACTCGTCTTCCTCCGCCTCTCACTTCAACCCGTTATACTCACTCATACTACTCCGAACCCCCACAGATGTTTCCAATGGAGTGCCCCCCTCCGTGATGGCACCGGGCAGAGCCGTGACAAACGACCGGTGCTGACGGCGTACTTCCTCAAGACGGGACGCCGAGAGAAGAAGCCCAGCCCGACCGAGATGTCTGCCGCGGAAAGTTTTCTTCTTCGGATGGAAGATGTTTTTCAAACATAGCGCGTATCTTTCTCATCTTACTGAGTGAGTGGGACTCTACGAAAACACGCCGAACAATACATTTTGAAGAGTGTTTATAGAATGGTTTAATGGAGAAGCATGTGGATGATAGTCTGGTTAAAATGTAGATGTTTATTCATGAGCTTAGTTGAGGTGAGGTACTTTTGGTAGTCTGCTGACATCACGACTTACGAAGCTATTTTTGTGCACTTAGTGTCCTGTACGACACATTGGTTTCAAAGTTTAAAACACACATTTTCCTATTTTAATAATACTAATAATACATTTTGCGCATTTCGATTTTGCGTATTGCTTTCTCACATTGACATAACAATATTAACAACACAATAAAGAATGCCTTTAATTAGCTAGAACTTGAAAGTGTTAAAACGTGAATGCATCAGCAGTTTTTCTCAACCATTATCCAGCCAAAGCACATTTTATCCTAGAACTTTTTACTTGGATAAAAAGTATATCTAATATTAGCGTAAAGCACTGTAACATTATGCACGGTATACACATTCAAACTGCATTCAATTATAGGAAAATTAAAAGGAAAAACTACTTAAATAATAATTTAAGTGAAATCCACTCCATATAAAAGTTAGATTCAAATTGTGTCTTTTAATAAAAGTCTTAAAGATGAAATGCAAGAGTCAAATATAACTGAACTGTTCAATGATTAGAGGGAGCCGATGTACCAATAGTGATACTTGAATTTGAAATCTGACTGGTTCAAGAAACAGTCCCATAACTAATGTAGTTGAAGTTACATCGCCCTGCACAAATAATTTTGAAGGCCCTGGCAACATGGTATCATACACAGGCTGAAAATCTGACATCCATGAACATATTTTGTTATAAATATGTTTGTTATAAATATATATGATTGTTATAAAATAGTTGGGAAGATCCATCCATTCATTATCTGAACCGCTTTATCCTCACTGGGGTCATGGGCGTGCTGGAGTCTATCCCAGTTGATTTCGAGAAACAACCATTTCGACAAACAACCATTCGCACTCACAATCATACCAACGGACAATTTTAGAGTGATCGATTAACTTACCAAGAATGTTTTTGCGATTTCCTCCGGAGTACTTGGAGAAAACCCATGCAGGCACGGGGAGAACAAGCAAACTCCACACAGGAATTTCCCGGCCTGGAATCGAACCCAATAACCTCTGCACTGTGAGGCAGACATGCTAACCAGTCTCCACCATGCTGCCGCTGTTGAGAATGAAATCATACAATTTAATGGAACAAATAAAATTTAGGTTGTAAACGTAGGTCATTTCTTTTGGGCCAATTACAAACAAATCACTGAACACAATATTTTCACAACTGCTCAAGTTAGAGTGATTTCTATTGTTTTGTTTACCGTATTTTCAGGAGCACATATTCATTCGTCCAAGTTAGCAGCTTTGTGAAGACAGTTTCTGTGCAGAGTAACTTAATATTTCAGTGTTTTTACCGTCTCTTAGTGACCATGGAGGTGTAGAGGTCGTGAGTGACACAACGTCCATGGGGGAGTTCATCGAGCTGCGTGACCTAACGCCTGGCGGAGAGCAGGTCCAGCTGACTAGCGCATGCTCGCCTCGCTCCCCGCCACGTTTGGAGAGAGCCAACGCCCTGAGGATCAGCCCGGGGAAGGTGCCAGATCTGCTGAGCAGGGCGGGCATCATCCGCGTCCTGAGCAGTTGCGACCTTGACCAGAGCCTGGCAGAAGAGACCGGGGAGGGCCACGACTTCCAGCCCTGCAGCCATGCTCAGCCCACGTGGTGCGACCTGTGTGGGGACTTCATCTGGGGCCTCTACAAACAGAGCTTGCGTTGTGCCAGTGAGTCCACCGATGCGTGTCTGTGTGGAGAGAAGATGCATAGAAATGAAATAAAATGACAATTGGAAGTTGACCAGCTTACTTCAGCCCTTTGGCAGACATTTAGGGAAATGTCAGACTCCCTTACATTGTCTGTATGTTTCTCTTGTTTAAGACTTTATCTTCAAGATGAAACAAAGTCTTGAACTTCCTGTTCTTCAGAAGCAGCCCACACAAAGATAAGCTGGTGGTTTATACAGAAACTGTAATCACGTGCCTATACAGTAGTTATGAAACACTCATGCTTCACAACATGTCTGATGATAATAATAACAGCAAGATATCATCTTATTTTTGTTATTTTTACCAAAATTACTGAAAGTACTCAATGTCACATGATCTTAAAAGCTTTTCATTTAATAGTGTGGTTTGAGATGAAACATTTCATGCCTCGATTATCATGACCAAAAATTTCCACAATATCAGTATTATCACTACATTATTAAAAGAAAACAAAAACAAAGGATACATGCGCATAAAGCACAGCAACAAAAATCTGATTGTGTCAGATCGTGTTCTTTTTGACTCTGTAAATTGCAAATAGCAATGACCAAAATATTTGTTAATACGTGCATTCTCATGTGAAACTGGAAACTACTTCATCCTTCATTGTATTTATTACTCTCGACAGTTCTACTCCACTGCAAAGACGATAATCGCCACTAGTGTACTTTTTGGAACATGACAGAGCAATGCAATGAATTGTATGTATACATAATTCTACTTGTGTGTCTGAAACATTCCCTTCCTCCAGATTGCAAGTTCACATGCCACTACCGCTGTCGACCCCTGATCCGCTTAGACTGCAGCTGGGATCGAGGTTCTTCCACTGACTACACGTTGGTTGTGGAGCACACAATCGAAACAGACACCAATGTGGTAAGGAACGTCAAATCACAAAGCATGGGTTTTCCACTTTTCTAAAATAGTAGTTGTCACATTCATTCATGACCTCCATCAAGGAGGGTATTTAATTGTTGCTGACACACATGGACAAAATTGTTGATACCCCTCTGTTAAGGAAAGAGAAACTCGCATTGGTCACAGAAATAATGTTAATCTGACAAAAGTAATAATAATAAAACATTTAGAATAAGAAGAAAATAAACCAATGAAAATCAGTCATTGTTTTTGAATTGTGGTTCAATAAACAAACTCATGAAACACGCCTGGAGAAAAATTATGGGAACCCTAGAAAAGATATTGATAATCATTTGACTTAAGACAATGTTTTCGAGTTAGCACCACAGTTGTCTTCAAACGTGTAATCAGTCAGTCGTTTGGTTTAAACTTTAAAGTGTTGCAATTAGTCACTGTGCCGTTTGGTGACATTGTGTGTACCACACTAAACAGGGAGTAGAGGAAGCAAAGGAAAGAGCTGTCTTGGAGGATTCGAAAGAAAATTACAGACAAGCTTGATGTTCCTGTGACTACAGTTGCACCTATACAAAAATTTAAGATTCACTGGACTATATGCAACGTCTCTGGACATGACTGCAGGATGAAAATTGTTGACAAATTGAAGAGATGAATGTGAATGGTAACATTTGTATTTATTTTTACTTTAGTCAGATTAAAGTTGTTTCTGTGGCCACTGAGTTTTTTTTCAGAGGGGTACAGTACCAGCACTTTGTCCTAACTAGTTTCCATTGCTACTCCCACAAACTGAGTACGGTACTTTTACAGGACTCTTGATTTGCATGTTACATTGTCTTTGAAACCTGAATGTAACATAAAGTGTGTGTGTGGGGGGGGGGGAATTCAGGGATAAAGTAAATATTTTCTGAAATATTTTGTTGAGTATCCTCCAAATGATCATATGCACAAATTCAAAGCAGAAAAAGGAATGCCTGATATATTTACAAAAGGAAGTACTGTACAGGCAGTAGGGGAAATGCGTTAATATTGAGAAAAAAGTTGAGCAACATTTCTTGTCAGGTTTTCTCAATAAGGTTTTCTTAATAGATATATTCGTACAGTCTCAACTTCATTGACATGCACTTAGCCAGGCCTAAAACAAGTAAAACTTCAGAGAACCTGCCTTAAGTCATTACATTTTTTTTTTACATCAACTGTTTGCCTGAATGCAACAAGGCCCTCAGTGCTATCGTGTATGCACAAGATGTTCAAGAATCTGATTTCCTATTCACAATGAAGTGCATTGACAGAGGAAGCCACGACTGAATGAAAGTCATTGTCATAGATACGTTCCCTCATAACTTGAAAGTGGAATCACCAGTTCAACCAATGTCGCATCTGTAGCGAGTATGTATAATCCCAGGGTAGTTTATTTATTCTCTTGTTTTAGCATCACCTGACACACCCTAACCCTCATTCCACACCTTGAAAACAGGTTCATAATTCTCTGGTGTGGGATGAAGTGCCTGTTTGTTTGGATTTTCAGTTTAAATGTCCAAAATAACTTCCAAACAGGAATTGTCAATATTACAATTAAATGGGTGGACATTTATGCTCTATTACGACCCACCATGGTAATAATAATTATACAGATGGAAAATCAAATATTACAAAGGAGTACGTTATTAGGAACATGCTGAAAAGAAAAAGTAATTACGGTATACCATAAGATTTAAGGTGAATATTTTCAAGATTAAAGTTGTTATACTATGAGAATTACGTTTTTTCGATAGTTTAAAAAAAAAACAAATATACGTGAGGAAAAATGGTAGCAGGTGTTTGCTGACTCCCATTAACACGAATTTGAATGTGACTGATCAATTTTGGACAGCGCCAAAACTACAGTACTTACAAGTGGGTGTGCACACTTATGCAACCACATTATCTCATTTGCCTACCTCGATTACCCTTATCTAAAATGTTTTTAATTGAGTTGTACAGGTTATAGGTCACGATAGTGTTTGAAAAAGTTTGAAAATGATTTGTTCCTGTCTCACTTTTTCAGATCCTAAAAACCTGGCCTTTGAACAGGAGTTTTTATCTCGACTGAAAGTGAAACTTTACCTCCTTGAAGCTATTTCATTAAGATCCTACATAAAACAAAAGACAATATAACCTAATTTGGTGAGATTTGAACAATATTAACATGAACAGATTTGTTCAAATTTTATATTTTCGTGATCAGTGTCGCTATATTGGTTCAGTGGGAGAATCCTTTTACTTTACTTTCAGAGTCCTTGCTGTAAAAACAAGTCCAACAAAAACACCACAACAGAGGGAGCAATAAATAATTTAATAAGAGTAAAAAAAATACTGTGGTGGTAAAAATAATTTCACATGACAATAATCTGACAAAAAAAAATTGGCAGGCACACATACTTAAGCTAAACTTTTAGACCATTGAATTCAGTGGTTTCTTGTACTAGATGTATATATTTTTGTAGTAATGTATTGTTAAACTGTGCGTCACTTTGGTCAACTGATTAGGACATCCGCCTCACGGTATTGAGGTCATGGGTTCGATTCTGGGTTCTGTCCTACCTGTGTGGAGTTTGCATGTTCTACCTGTGCCTGTGTGGGTTTTTCTTCTTATTCCGGTTTCCTCCTACATTCCAAAAACATGCGTGTCCTCCTACATTCCAAAAACATGTGTGGCAGGTTAACAGAACACTCCATATTGTCCCTAGGTATGATTGGGAGTGTCAATGCTTGTTGTCTATGTGCGCCCTGCGATTGGCTGGCAACCATTCAGGGTGTACCCTGCCTGCTGCCCGAAGACGGCTAGAATCTGGTCCAGCATGCGCTCGACGCTTGTGAGGGAAAGCGGCTGGATGTTTATTTTTAAACCTATTTTTATAACAACCAGTGATTTACACCAATTCTCTTTAATTGTTCCATGAATTAACACCTTTAAAAATGACACATATTTGCTTTGTTTGTTCTTGTCATTGATTTTTACAAGACACTTGCGCCCCTGAAACAACTCTATGATTTCGAACAGCTTCCAGGTACTGTGGTAAAGTCGGTTATTCTCTGTTTTGTCCATTATTTATGGTGTTTTGAATTTGTCTGAGTTGTAGAAGTTGGGAGTGTTTAATTTGATAAATATCTGATTCATTAATTCTATATAATTTGAACGGTTCTGAAAACAGCATAAAACAATGTTTTTTGTTTATCTTAAAGATAAACTGTTTTTTAGTTTTGTCTTACCCCATGTCTCCACTGATATGTCAGTTATGACAGTAATAATGAACAACATAATGTATAAAAAATTATTCCTTATTTAGGAGCTTCTTGGTTTCGTCAAGAATACCTATGGTTTTAAGATATTTTCTTTTGAGATTTTCTGTTTGTGGTTTCCAGCATAATTTTGCATCAATTACAATGCCAAGAAATTTAGGTTCATTCCTACGTAAATCATGTTGAAAGCCCCCCGATCCACCACCCACCCACCACAAACATTATTAATTAGTTGTACAGTGTGCGAAATCATACATTAATCGGCTAAATGACGGTTGATTTGACGCCATTTCCGTTGGCTTCGACACGTGACCACTTTAACCGGGAGCGTGAGACTGCGCGGCTTGTCAATGCGCATGCGCAGAATACCCTTCAGTTTACCTTTTTTTTTTGCTCTATCGGTCGCTAGTCCAATCAGGAAGCCTGTCGGAATCAGACGTTGCTTCCGGGTGTCACGCGTCCAATCAGAAAACGCTGCGTTGGATCTGTGTATTTTCTAAAGCCAACGGCCTAATGGGCGGGGCCACGGGCCGGGCGGGGTCTCCACCCAAGTGCATCCTGTTTCACACAGTAACACTTTTGTCGAGCGGAAACGAGACCGGGTGAAGACGTCTGCGAGAGAGATTAGTTGACGTTTATTCATTGATTATAGCTGTCGATCAAGTTGTTTGAGCTAGTTCGTCGCTTGTGTTTTACATTGGCTAGCCATAATATTTAACACAGCCTTCAAGAAGGTCTTAATTTGATCGCTTAGTTGGAAAGTATCATAAGTAGCTTAGGGATTTTCAGGCCCTCATCAACATGTCCACGGCCAGTAGCTCAGACAAGTCGCCCTCCTTCGAGAAAACGTGGGGCAGCTCCACCAGTAGCGGATACTGCAGCGACGAAGCGGCAGACTCCGACGCAGAGTTCGAGCAGTATTTCACTGCCCGCACGTCCTTCTTCCCCAAGGGCCGTAAAGCGAACTCTGATTTCAAGAAGGTGAGAGGCAAAAAGAACAAACAAACACTCTTTAAAAAAATAAGAATGAACAAAATCGATGAAAATGTGGAAGTTGTGCTTCGCTTCCGCCTTTTAGAGCGGAGTTCTCAAAATTCCCAGTTGTCCTTGAATGTATTTTCAACGGGCAGTCAAGTGCGCGTGTGACCTTTTTTGGTAGTGTTCCAGTTCAAAACAGAATTTATTGGAATCTACATGGTCTTCTTTTTGTAAAGCTTATAGCTCTTTGTTTAATGGCGTGTGCCAATCGAAGTTTTCCATTTTGTAAAACGAGACTTTCTCACTTTAATGTTTGAGTTCCAAACGCTGTCATTTGACCATCCGTTGTGGTGTATTACCGAAAACCATGTTTACATTATTGTGGTTCTGATTTGTTGGTAAATAACTTAGTGTAGTGGTTAGGATTTGACATTTTTGGATGGTGTTTTACTGATAAAGCGAGACTAGTAGCAATTGATTGTTAAAATAAAGTTGATTTTTTCCCCAAGTAAAATATAAAGTGTGATGATTGGGATTTTACCTTATGAGACAACAACAACTCAAGAAAACCAGAAACTAGAATTGACAGTAGGGGAGAGTTCTCAAACCTTCCAGTTGTCTCTACCTTTTTAGTGGGCTGTTACTTAAGACATTTTTCTTGCTTTAGTTTAGAAAGGATATTTGTGTATGGTCCCTGACCCGAAAACCACTGGACCCGTGCAGTGAGAACATAGCTGTCAGACATCAATAGGTTCGCACTTGTTCTGCTGGGTGGGAGCCACTGATTTAATTGGTTTTGATGCAGTGTATCGTCTTAGTTTGGTAAAACTATCATGATTGACACTGATTTAATTTGTTTTGATGCAGTGTATAGTCTTAGTTTGGGAAAACTATCATGAGTTGAAGCAGACATGGGTGCCACCATTACACCCTCTCTTGCGCTGACTGTCATGTCTTTATTGCTTTTGATGTACTGAACCGTGTCAGCCACAAAGGTAATGTGGGTGCAGATTGAGTAAAGAGTTTGGGAAGATGATGTAAACGTAGTTAGTCTGCCTTTGGACAGTAAAGGTTTTTGAACTTAGACTGGCGTGGACAGATGGCGCTTAATTCCATCATAATGAATGACTGCGGAATAAATAATCAATTTTTTATTCACTGCATTAGCCCGTTCCATGACAGTGGTCACCACAGAGGAAAGCTATTCAAAAGTTGCTCTCTCCTACATGAACGAATTCCCCCACCCCCTGACTGATGGGGGTTATCATAATTCGTGCATGAAAGCTTTAGTGTGATTTGGTGGTGTTGGTGATGTTGAGTGTTGGTAGCAAGGTAATGTGTTAATACCAACTTGTTTTACGGTTACTCAAGCATATTGAGTTAGTTCTCCTTTACTGTAGTGATTGGGATAGTATGGACAGGATGCTAAGCAAATGAAGCAGACAGGCGTAGTTCAAAAGTACCCTTTTAAAATACAACCAGCCCATAGCTTGCACCAGAAGGGTGTGTTTAGTGACGCATAAGCTCCTCTCATATTTCCATGTATATACGCCCATTTTTAACACTCATTCTTGCATCATAGATGATTCATGGGATGTTGTGGTATTTTGTGTTGTAGTAGTCCACACTAACACACACATTATTTGCTCTCTCGGCTTGGTTTTACTCCCATCAGCGTTATCGGAAAACTGCACCTGGCACTCCTACAGATTTTTTTTTTTTTTTTTGATACAGCATCATTTTAACACATCATTCTTCAATCAGCCAGGAGTAGTGATATAATTGCTTTTTTATACTTCTTACCCATTGAATTCTTGTAAACCCCACGTCTAGACCTCATATTTAGAAAACATTTTCTAAACTTAAAGAAATAAAGGTGCTTGGCCACATTCTTAACAGGAATATTGTTGAGATTTTTACTACCATAGTGGCTTGTGTGGAAATAAAATGTGCTGTTTCGTTGTTTTCCGATGCAGGAAATGCCATTTGGCCTGCGCAAACAGGAAAAAGACTATTTCATGCTCACGAAACTGCCGGTGCTGTAATGAGTGAAACGTGACTGGCCGAGGAGTCAGCTGACCTCACAGGATGTCTGCTGTACAAGGGAGGGCATTGTATCTCCCACTGGCGCGGGGGCTATTTTTACATGAACACTCGCTGAAGGAATGCGCTGTCGAGTTTTTTGCTCACAGTCATGCAAACAGCTGCAAGTTGTACTGGCGCTCTCCACAATTCCCCACCGCCACCACCGCCCTTCCCTCATCCTCCCATTAGCCCTCCCACAGCTGAGAGGCGCAGGCGCAGAACAAGATTGGATGGCGTCACTTTTGCCTGCGTTGGCAGGATGTGAGTCTGATGCAACCAGTGCATGCCAGATCCAACAAACAAGTCTTTTCAAGCCTTGATGTTTCAAAGACAACGTTACATTGTCTCGCAGCAAACACTTGACCAGTTCACCTCTTGGAGCCATAATTTTGAAGTCATGTCATTGAATCAGTAATTTAAAAAGAAACAGTAGGTTTCTACAGTATTGCATTTATAGATCGGTCATGTATTGTCTAAAAACCCAGGAGTATTTTGACCACATGTAAAATAAAAAGCCAAGAATGAAGTCAACATATTGTGAGAGAACTTGTAATGTCATTGGCATAATTCTGTAATTTGAGAAGAGTAAATAATAATAAAAAGCAATTGAACAATAAGAGTATTGTCATTATAAGTGAGACTGGGGTTAGTGCGACCCACTGTTTAATCATCCACAAATACTATATCTGTGTCTATAATACCATTTCCCTGATTATGTTTGGAAATGGAACACTTGAAGTCTTGTGGGGTCAACACTTTTTTCCCTTCTCTCTCCCCTCAGGATGAACCAACCGAATGTGGAAAGCAGGTGTTGACAACTGCCGATACTCAGAAGAAGGTCAAGGAGTACAACACTCAGATCAATAGCAATCTGTTCATGAACATGGTGAGTGTTACGTTTGCAATGGATATAAAAAGTCTACACACGCCTGTTAAGTCAAAGTCCATCAAGCCACCTTCGACCGGTCGGGTCGTGGGAGTAACAGCTTTAGCGGGGAAGCCCAGACTTCCCTCTCCCCAGGCACTTCCTCCAACTTTTTCCGGCGGATCCCAAGGCATTCCCAGGCCAGCCGGGAGACATAATCTCTACTTCGTGTCCTGGGTCGTCCTCAGGGCCTCCTGCCGGTGGGACATGTCTGGAACATCTCACCAGGGAGGCATCCAGGAGGCATTCTAATCTGATGCCTGAGCCACCTCAATTGGCTCCTGTCAATGTAGAGGAGAAGTGGCTTGATTCTGAGCCCCTCCTGGATGACCTGGCTTCTCACTTTATCTCTAAGGCAGAGCCCGGAGGAAACTCATTCCGGCCGGCCGCTTGTATCTGGGATCTTGTTTTTTCGGTCACTAACCCATAGTTCCTGACCATAGATGAGGGTAGGAACATAGATTGACCGGTAAATCGACAGCTGGGCCTTTTAGGTCAGCTCCTACACCACGACAGACCAATACAAAGTCCCCATCACAGCACATACTGCACCGATCTGCCTTTCAATCTCTCGCTCCATCCTTCCCTCTCTCGTGAACAAGACCCCAAGGTACTCAAACTCCCCATTTGGGGTAAGATCTCATCCCTGAACCGGAGATACTTCTGAAACGTCGCTTTCCGAATCGATTTCTGACTGGCTTTGTACACCACCATACAGAGCCCCGCTATTGTTCTCTTGATGTGACGTCACACTTCCGGGTTTGTCGCTCGTCAGGATCTCACTTCGGGGAAACCATTACTTTGTCAAATAGAAATTATTTTTTCCATGCTTTATTTAATGTATTTTGTTTAATTACTTGTGACGTTTGGGATTTTCTAAAATAACTTCACTCTTGACCTTTAAGTGTCTCAAACCAATGGGGGAGATAATGTGGTTGCACATGTATGCGTACGTCGTTGTAACTTTGTTCAAAATTAACCAATCACATTCAAGTGCATGTTAAACAGTCGTCAGTTAACACACATCTACCACCATTAAAAGGGATTTTACTTTCTAGAAGAAGCTCAAAGAACGGGTGTGTGTAGACTTATTTTTACATCTCCTATATGTATTAGTGTTAAGATTGTACCACAGTTGGAATGATTTGTTCCTGTGCACAGAACAAGGACGGTTCCTACACCGGCTTCATCAAAGTTCAGTTCAAGCTGGCGCGGCCCGTGTCGGTCATGCACCCGAAGAAAGCAGGATGCGGAGGTGCGCAGAACGCCGGCTCCAGGAAGGGCGGCGGTGTGAAGCGGCGCACCTCCTTCTACCTGCCCAAAGACGCGTCCAAGCACCTGCACATCAGCTCCCGCACGTCTGCTCGCGAAGTCATCGAGGCCCTGTTGAAAAAGTTCACCGTGGTCGACAACCCTGGCAAGTTCGCGCTGTTTGAGCGCAGCGAGCGCCACGAACAAGGTATTGCACATATTCACACAAATCATTAAACCTTCAATCTCACTTTAGTTCTTGAAATTGTTTTTGATCTGAGCTTTTGTTTGTTTGCAGTTTACATTCGCAAGCTGTCAGACAACGAGCGCCCCCTACCTCTGCGACTGTGTGCTGGACCCAATGAGAAAGTGCTCAGTTTTGTTTTGAAGGAGAATGAGACCGGAGAAGTCAATGTAAGTGTTTCATTGCTCATTAAATTGGTTGACATGAACTTGTAGTGCTGCCAAATGCACAGTTTTGATGGGAATGGTTTGATATTTCAACTTCTTCACCTGCATATGCATTAAATATAGGAATTTTGGTGCATGCCTTTAAACTATTTACATCAATAACATGAAACAATGCACCTTCCCCCAAATACGCACCAGTTTTTAAAAAAAAAAACCTGGTAACACTATGACCTTGTCCATACATGACTTTTTTGTAGTTAGTGACGGTCCCGCTGTCATACTACCAGATAAATACTGTTCTGTGTCTTGGACCGTCACTACAAGACCGTCACTGACCAGACCCTGCCCAGTCGTTGTGTGCACCTGTCAAGGTTCAGTCCATCTGCCTAGGTCCTTCGTGGAAGTCCGCGGGACAAGTAGCTGTCAAATTCATGTGGACGGAGGCATTGTGTGCATGTGCATTGTTTCTATGTTCAGAAAAGGCAAAAAAAAATCTAACAAACAAAAATAACAGAAAAAAAGTGTATGGAACCGTACCTGGATGGTGGGAAGAGAGCAGTATGGACTGTCTATTCTCCAAAAAGAACTTGAGGTACCAAATTGGTTTCATGACACCATATTTGCTAATCAGGTACTAGCTTTGCAGTTGGCAAATGTAGCACGAGTGGAAAGTCTACGTATACTTTGCGATATTTCCCTTTTGTTCAAGTCACTTTTTAAACACTCCACACACATTTTGATTGTGTATGGCCGCCTCCACTCTCTTGTTATAAGTAGAAGGGCACTGTCTTCCTATTGGTCAGTGATGAAGAACCAATCGAAGGACTATGTAGGAGATGTCACACGGCAAGGACAAAACCTCTGAAATGCCAGACTTCTGTTGTCGCGGTTGTGAAGTGTCCCAAATGCCTTATGACCAATCGTTGTGTATGTCACACTACACGGACTATGACGCAACAAAACAACTCGGAATCAGCGATGAGACTTGACATTGCATTATTTTTCTGCGACACGTCTGTCACCTCAAAACCGGGCTACATTCATGTAATCTGATGGCATTAGGCAGCACAGTGGGCATGTTTGTCTCACAGTTGCAAGGTTCTCGTTTCATTTAGTTTAATCTCAGCTCTGGTTCAAGGTCTCCCCATGTTTTGTTTGTTTGTTTGTTTATTTTTGACCGGTTACTCTGGCTTCCTCCCAGATTCCTAAAATTTGCCTGTTGGGTTTATCAAAGAGTGGTAATTGCTGCGAAACATTTGAAAACCACTTTGCTACAGCTAACCCAGTGTTCCTTATGTTTGCAGTGGGATGCTTTCACCACACCGGAATTGAAGAATTTCCTGCTCATCCTCCAGCGCGAGGAAGAGGACCACATCAAGCAGATCATGGAGCGCTACAAAGTAGCTCGAGCCAAGATGCAGGAGGCTTTACGCGGCTCCACGCCGGGATGAGCATTCTCTTACCCCTGCTGACGGGGAGACCTGGAACGTAGCACATCTCCGGCTGGACCGTGGCCTTCAAAACCACCAGTCGCCGATGCACGTGACGCTCCCGTTAACAAACGAAAACTAAAAACACCTTTTCGGTGAACGAGAGTGTGAAAGAGGCGCGAGACGATGAGAGCGTGCGCGAGAGAACGCTGACACGAATGTGCGTGTGAAAGGATGCGAGAAGCAGTGCCTGACACCTGGAGAGTCTGAGAAGCAGTGCCTGACACCTGGAGAGTCTGATGTGCCTGAGAGAATGAGTTGAGACCAATGAGGACTGACAGACAACCCGGCGGGTGTAGTCAGTCTACTTCCAAATGACCCTACAGTACATGGTTTTTAATTAATTCATTAAATTACCTTTTTTTTTTTTTTTTTTTTGGCCACATCACTTGTGCCACAGTGAACCAGTCTTGAACATAAACACACATTCCAATTTTAAAACAAAATTAGTAACATCAGTTATTGCTGCATACACACAATCAAGTGTCCTTGAGTGTTTTGAAAGGCGCTTATAAATGTAATGTATTATTATTATAATCAAAAAACTGAATGTTTAAATTCTTAAGTGTCAATAGGTGTTCTTTGGAAGTAGCCACGCCAGCAGTCTTGTCATGTCCTCTATACCCTTCAAGGGTGCAACTCAATTTTTTTTTTCCACTGTTAATTTGTGAGCGATGCGGTTGTGTGGACATTGTTGTACGATGCTGAATGTGTCAAAGCACCAGTGTCAAAATCACTTGGATTGAATGTGATTGTGAATGAATTTTTACTGTACAAGTTCACTTAAAGCTGGTCTGTATTTTATGTTGTTGACTACCCCTCCCCTCGTCTTTTAATGTACAATGTCTTTTAATGATGGAAGTTCACTGAGAGCTGTTCTTTATTTCATGTTGTTAACCCCCCAAGCTGTTCTTTATTTCATGTTGTTGACTTTTTCCATGTTTAATCTCTTCACTCGTTGAATGCACACAAGCACTTGTTGGCCAATACTGTTAGTTTCATCCAGAATAATGCAACTGTCCTGCAGATGATAACTAGATGATAACTAGATTTCTCCCATTTATTTTCTAGTCCTTTCATGAGTCATCGATTGCCTACGCAGCAGGCAAGATAAGCCATTTAATTGCGGCTATGTGAGCTATACACATGTTTCTGATGCATCTGAGCTAGATCCTATCCGTCCTGGCTGTTGATGAGCAAAGCGCAGCACTCCCTGCAGTTGACTGGCGAACTGTCCATGTTATACCCCTATTCTCTCACCAAATGTCACCTGGAAAAACCAGTCCTGCTTCTCTCGCCAAAAGGTCGGCTGGCATAGGCTCAAGCTCACTGAGCAACCAAGTGAGGATTGGTGCGATAGAATAGATGGCTGCGTTAAATGGAAATGATGAAATTACATATATTTTATATAAAGTATATTTTAATTAGAGAACAATAGCAGGACTGTTGTCTAAACCGGTGCCTAATTAAGTGGACATTCAAGTGGCTTCATCACATCCTTTCAAATGTGACATATGTGCACTACTTTAAATAAAGTATCTATCAGAATGTTTTTTGTTTTTTTAATGAAAAAAAAACTTGGAAATCTTGTCTCGAATTTAAATGTTAAGGGTAAATACATGAGTGAGCCATTAGGGGTGTGTTCTCGTAATCCCATCAATGCAACCGCCCTAGCAACGAATGCTTACCATCATGGAGATTAAAAGGTGTAAAAGAAGGTAGGTTGTGAAACGGAAACACCGTTCGACACCACGGTTTGTACAGTAATGTGCTTTCAAGGGGGGTAGAGAGGTTTTAAATGACACGTGCCTTGTACGCTTTAGCTTGCATTGCTCAGCTGCGTCAGAGGAGGCTAAAGAACTAGCATGGTTCAACTAGCAGCACCTTGCTAACTGGCTAACAGTTCCAGTTAAAAGTATTGTGTCCACGTTATAACGTACGTTAAGATTACGAAAGGCTTGGGGTGGTGGTTAAATCCCTGAAAGTGACTGTTAATAATTACTGCGTTTTATGGTCCGGTTGGTTAGCACCCCTCAGCATAAAGCTAACCTATGGTTTAACAAGAGACGACTTTCAAAGTGACGACGAGTAGTTATTCTACACTTTGAAATATTTGCCTTCTGGTGAGAGTTGTGTTGTTAAATGTGCACTAGTGTCCACTCACTGGGCATTACTCTGAATTCAACACGAGCTATATCAACTATGTAGTTTGTGTTTGCCTATTGTAATGTTGCTCTTTTTTTGGATAACGCATATTACAGTACAGTACATTAAATTAAACTACTCCAGCAGTAATGAATGATTTTATCAATGCAAATTTATTTGGATAGCACAATTAGCACACAAGTCAAATTATAAGTGCTTTACAATGGCAAAAAGAAATTCAGTCGATGTTAAGAAGTTTAAAAAGTAAATTCAAAAGATAAATTGTATGTAGACATAAATACTAGAAATAAAACAGTAGAAGCAAAGTGAACAAGAAATAGATTGAGCATGTAAGGGTAGTTTCCAATAGACAATAAGGTTTTCAGGCCTCATTTAAAAAGGCTGACAGTTTGAGCAGACCTCAGGTATTCGGCAAGTCTGTTCCGAAAGTGAGGAGCATAGTTGCTGAATGCTGCTTTGCTATTTTTGGTTCATATTCTGGGAACACACGATAAACCTGTCCCGGATTACTTGTGGGCTCTGAATGCTTCATATGGAGCTAATAAGTCTAGGATATATTTTGGTCCAAGACCATTTAATGCTTTGACGATCAGAAGCAAGATTTTAAACTCTATACTTTTATTAACAGCAAGCCAGTCATTTAATTTGAGGAACAGTGTAATATAGTCCAACTTTATGGCGTTATTCAGGACACTGGCAATCACTATTATATATGGACCACTTACTCAAGTTCTTCCAAGGGGATTCCAAGGCATTCCCAGGCCAGTCTACAGACAGACTCTCCAGCACGTCCTGGGTCCACCTCCTCCCGATAGGATATTCCCGAAACACCTGACCAGGGAAGTGTCCAGGAAGCATCCTTAGAAGATGCCCAAGCCACCTCATCTTGCTCCTCTGGGCACTTCCCAGATGACCAAACTTCTCATCCTATACCAAGGCAGAGCACAAACACCCTGCAGAGGAAACTTTTTCGCATTGTATCGAGGTTCTTTTCTTTACGGCTCATAGCTCATGATCAGAGGTGAGTCTGGGAATGTAGCTCGAACGGTAAATTCAGAGCTGAGCCTTTTGGCTCAGCTCCTTTTACACCACGACAGACGGATACAGAGTCCGCATCACTACAGACGCTGCGTTGAGCTGCCTGTCAATCTACTGCTCCATACTCAGCTTACTTGTGAGGAAGAATCCAAGATACTTGAACTCCTCCACTTGGCGGGAGTATCTCATCCCCAAGCTGGAGAAGGGTTCCCATGGTATTACGACTGAGGAACATGGTCTCAGATTTGGAGGTGCTGATTTTTATCCCAGCTGCTTCATATTCGGTTATGAACCCCTCCAGTGAGAGTTTGAGATCGTGGCTTAATGAAGTCCACAATACCACATCATCTGCAAAAAGCAGAGATGCAATACTGGGGCCCAATCAGTCAGAGTTTACTCGATTTAAATGGCCTGATCAGTAAGAGTTTACACTATTTAATATGGTCACCTGTTTAATTGTGAACACATGAATAACATTTGATTTGTGTCTTGTCTCTACTTACTCAGATCCTGCCTTCATTAAGGAATTGCTAGGCTGGCCCAGAACCAGATTAGTGCTTCATGTGAAGGACTAACGATGCCTTATGCGTGAGGAGAATGGGAGGAAGCGGGTCCAAAGCCAAAGGCGCTTGGCCTTTCTCGGGCAGCGGGGCGGGAGGTGACTCTGTCGCTAATGGCAACGAACAGTCCGTGGCCCGCCTCAAAAGTCCCAGAAACGCAACACCCTTTGTTTTTACTAGGAGGAGGTAAAAACAACACTGATGAATGTTTGTTGTAAATTGATAAATAAAGTCTAACTGGTTTCAGTGGAATCTCCAAAGTTATGAATTGATTCAACTTCTTTATTAAGTTTGAGGTTACATTTTGTGTAATGCGACTGTTGTGTTTTGCAGCTCACTGTACTACGACGAGGATGGGGACCTTGCCCATGAATTCTACGAGGAGACGGTGGTGACAAAAAACGGTCGAAAAAAGTCCAAGTTGAAGAGGATTCAAAAGAATCTGATTCCACAGGTAAGCTGAGTGTTGGTACCAGTGGTGGAAAGCTCCTCCCCTCACTAATATTTGAAAACAGCGCTCAAAGAGGGCATTGCCTGGACGACCGTTGGGCTCGTGAGAGGGGGGAAACGGTTGAGCATGGTCTGGCTGTGATTGACAGCAGCAGTGACAAACTATGACCTAAATTATTTCTGTACTACAACAACCTATGCTAAATAAACAAATCAAATGCTTTGCTAATAAATCACTAACCTGAAAATGAATATAAAGATGTCCGCAAACGCTGCTATTCCAACTCCAACTTACTATATAGTTGTGTAGAGGACTCAGCCATTTGTATAAACCACGGCTGAGTGCGTGACTATGTCAACATTCCGAAAGTGACCTCAGGATTCCCTGCGAGTCAAGTCAGAGGACACAAAGCCAAATTCACATACGGGGCAGTGTTGAAGCCAGATTGGCTTCACACAGACGTTTTTTGACCCAAATTCAACATTTCAACAAGCATGCATTAAAATGTCAAAATAACGGCCTGGACATGTAGACAGTGATAGTAGACACACATTTATGCAATTTACACACACACACACACACACACACACACACACACACACACACACACACACACACACACGAAGTTGATTTGGAGGTGTGTAGCCCTTTAATTGAAATGTTGAAATGTAGAGTATTGATTTTACATGATACCCTGAATTTATTTCCCATATGTAATGTAAACTGGTGAAATGCTACCATGATAGCAGCTGGTATATCTCGGGACTGACCAATATGGATTTTTTTTTCCAGCTGATGCTGATTCCGATATTTGGCAGAAAAACTCGATTAACCACCCGAAAAAAACAATTTAATAAACCATCAAATTTTTGGGGGACCTTTAATGCTTACAACAATGAAGATATGGATTAAAGGCATAACATTTGACTGTTTTACAATATTTTGCCCTTTAGTACTTGGGCAACGTTTGAATTTTATCTTTGCCTTTATTGTAATGTGATAATGTGAAATAAAAGAAAACTAATTGGCATTTTAAAAAGAGCCAATATCGGCCAATTAAAATGAGATTAATTAGTCGGGTCGCAGGTATTAGTATTTTTAATGATTGAATGATATGCTGTTGCTTCTTTTTTTAGGGGATTGTGAAGCTGCAGCATCCCTGTATTCACGTGGACTTCCCCATCGTCCTCTGTGAGGTGTAATTATTTTTTTTCATATGGACAACTGGCGCAAATTATTCCCCTTGAACTAAAAGCGGTCTGACCCGAATGAGTCTGTGGGTTCAAACATGAACGGCCAGCTGCAGAAAGAAAAACTCCATTGCAAAGTGACATATCGGTGTTTTGTCATTTACACACAGGTAGTACAGATTTCTGTAACGTGTTCTCTGCCTAGATGATACAGTATGTAAGCAGACTTTAAAGGGGACATATTATGGAAAATTGATTTTTGAATGGCCGGTATACACAACGTTGAAGCGCTGGAGTACTTGTCTAAGCCAAAAGCTAAGACAAGGTTCTCTGTTAGCAGACTGCAATTTGGCTTCTTCATAAAGTTCTGCCTCCAGAAGTGAAAATACAAAATCTCAGTGGACACTGGCTTTATTTTCATTCACACTTACCTCGTCGCAACTCCTATGCTCTGCCCCGGTCGTCATCGTGCCGAAAGCCGTTCTCGGCACTGATCCCACAGTCGAAGGGGCCTGGGGTGAGCAGTGGCTCGTTTGCATTAGACAGGGCCTATAATTTTTTTTAGAGAAGTTAACAAGACAGAAAAAAAAGCATATTATGTCTCCTTTAAAAATAACCCATCACACTATGCTGTATTTCTACCCCGAGGTGTTGTTTGTGCAAAAATACAAAAGGAGTGTTTGAGCCACACCGAAAAGAGGGACAAAAAGTAAATTTACAAGGAAAGAATACTCAAGTCATAACATCATCTTTTTTTCCCTTATCCATTTCTTGTACAGTGGTGCCTTGATAGTTGAGTGACATGACTTACAAATTTTTTTTGTTTTTTTATTGCTTTCACTTGTGAGCAAAAATGTGCAACAGAAGCGCTGTATGGTGGCAGTAAACTCAACTAATGTCACAACAAGCAGCCGTTTGTCAGATAGTGAACAATTCTTCCAGAAAGAGAATTTTAACTTTTTAACATTTTAACTTAAAAATCTTTAAATTTTTATTTTTTATACATCTTTGTGATATGACATTCTTGTAATTACCTACCATGTAATGTTATAATATTCCCTCTTTATTTTTTGGGAATAGTTAAACTTATTCATCTTTTTTTGTTGTGGTTGAACACTTGACAATAAGTGTAGGACTTTGTTTTTCACCCAAAATTTCTTGTAAAATATTTTTTGGTTTTCTTTCTTTTCCCACTTTTTTAATGACTATCGCAGATGAATAAAAATGTTTTTAAAATTGTTCTCCCAATATTAGGCCTCTCACAAAATATTATTTATTACAAATTCATCTTGAAATACATGGTGTAATTAATTTTAATAATTTTTTTCACAGAAACAATTTTTGTCAGAATATTTTGAGTAGGACTTGACTGATTAATTGGCCGGCCAATTTAATTGGTCGATATTAGCACTTTTAAAATCAGCAAAAAGCGGCAGACTTTATTTGTGATTCTTTTTTTATTTTTATGTATTTATTTATTTTTTTAGATTTATATTTAAATACATGAACACATTGTTGCATAAGACAACATTAATGATGTTGAAACACCCCTCCCGCCCCCAAAAATTAATTATATCTTTCTACTTGTAATATTGCAAATTTTTTTCCTTCTTTTCAGTGTGGCTCCATAGTCACTGATACAAAATGGCAGCGAAAGTTAGTCTCTGCCTTTAGTGAGCCGCACAAAGTTAGTGTGTGTGTGTGTGTGTGTGTGTGTGTGTGTGTGTGTGTGTGTGTGTGTGTGTGTGTGTGTGTGGGTGTGCGTGTGTGCGCGCGCGTGTGTGTGTGTGCGCGCGCGTGTGTGCGCGCGTGTGCACTATGTCTGCGTGCAGCTTAACTTTGAATGAACAAATGTGTAAATGTGCACCTTTGGCGGCTGGGCAGCGAGTGTTGTTTTATCGTAATAAACGTTGCATATAATGTGAGCCTTTTTCAGTCACGTGAGCTCAGACCTGCACTCGTTAAAACGTTGCACTGTAAATAATTCTGATGCATTAGTTGGAAATACTTGAATAAATAGTTTACTGAGCTTAATTTCTTGAGTCGGATCAGACTTTGTGTGTCATGGATCTCTTTATTTTTTCAAAAGTGTAATTTATTCACCCATTTATAAATTATTCTTTCATCTCCCGGTGCACTGGAATTAAACCAAATCACAACGTATGTTTGATCCCTGCCACTAGGGGCCACATAGAACTACTTCCTAACCAGATGTATGAAAAAAAATGCCACTTTAAAAAAGGAAAAAAATATATGCATTTGTGCAAAATATGTGCTCTTAATATATTATATTTCATTTTTCATAAAACATTTTTCGATTCATGTACTCTATAAAAGATCTACTATCCCAACCCAACAAAAAGGGCTTGAAGCAAACAACAAAATAACCACATGCTATGATTTTTTAAAAATGATTTTTTACTCCAGTGCCAAGGACCGTCTTGCACAAAAATTACAATTCAAGGCCAGCACAAAACTGCCAAACAGAAAACCAACATTACATGTAAGAATGAATTCTGTGTGTATATGTGTGTGTGTGTGTGTGTGTGTGTGCGTGTGTGTGTGTGTGTGTGTGTGTGTGTGTGTGTGTGTGTGTGTCCACACAAAAAAATCAACTCACTTGAAATGTTTATATTATTGGGGTACAAATTTACTCCTGCATATCATTCCAAGTTTGCAAAAAACATATTTGAGGCCTACTCATGTTGTAGTATCGGGAATTGTCACTAAAGTCAACACCTGTATATTTGCCATTTGGCAGCCATGGATTCACATAATCTCAAATGTTTTGACTTTTTTATTTTCATTAAAAAAGTTGCTTTTTGATATTTCCGAGATGTTTAAAAAATATATATTATTATTATACAAATAAACAAATAAACAATGTGGGTAGCTCAAGCACCCCTGTTCCAACCTATATGAGTAAAAATGGATGGAAGGATGGATTTTACAAATTTGTAAAAAACATAAAAACATACATTGTAGCATTCCCCTTAACAATTAATTGGTCACACTTTTTCCACCCCACGCCCAATTTTGTCTTGGATCAAAAAAAAAAAAAGATCGAAAAAATTGTAATTCTAATGACATTCATGTCTGAGGTTTGTGTTTTACCTGCAGATGGCAGCAGTAGCAGCAGTCTCTTCTGAACAAACCTCTTGACTGAGCTTGTTTCCTCCTCTCTTAATAACAATCCTCTGCTATTGTGCCTCTCGTGTAATTATAGGGCCTAACTCACGCACTAAGACTACAACCATGACAATTTGTGGCCTGGCTGTCACCGCTTTGGCAGCACACCAAGGCTTAATGGCAATGTAAACATATTCGGAGGCCTATTTCGCGGACAATAAATGGCCTGCTGTTCTTTTCCAGGGCTGCCGTGCTGTCTGTAATTGTGTGGAATGCGGTTGGGTGTGTTCCGGTGCCAGAGGTCACTCACTTTCATGTGCTTCCTCTCCGAGCCTCTTTTGATGTCGTGCTGGGAGCCCACCGAGGTTTGGGAAGATAAACCCCTGTTCTTTTAGGGCCACCCGGTATTACCACATTGAATATATGTGACAGCGTTACGATAGGAACAGCTAATGGGGCTGACACATGCTCAGTGACAGGAACTGAAAGGAACTTGTTTTATCATAATGTAGATTGTAAATTATGTTACCAGTGTTGTTACATTATGTCCTTTTTCCTGATCAGGTCGTTTTGTCCAGAAACGAGAAGCGTGCATCCAGGATAATGGACTGCTTAAATGCGGACTCTTTCAATTTCAGAGAGCCTTGCTTTTTGGATAATGAATAAGAAATGTCTGTAGTGTCATGAAATGAAAGGCCATTAATGAAGCCACCCAGTTAAAAAGAAAGAGAAGAAAAAGTCACGGAATATATTTTTTAACATTCAGGAAATAGGAAAATATTAAGCAAAATAAAAAAGTCAGTAAATCACAGAAAATTATTTAAATAATGTAATCATATAAAATAAGTATTGAGTTTTGTAAATAAAAATGCTAATAAATAATCCATTCAAAGAAATGTCACTAAATCATTAAAACTGAACTTTATTCAACTAAAGGCCATTTATTAAAATTTAATAAAAAATGCCATTAACCCTTATATAAATCAATCAATTAAAAATGTAAGAAATAATTTAAATAAATCACCAAAGATCAACTCATAAATAAAGACACCATTAAATAATCCATCCATTTTCTAATCTGGTAATCCTCATGAGGGTCGCGGTTGTGCTGGAGCCGATTCCAGCCATCTTCCGGCAGTAGGCGGCGTACACCCTGAACTGGTTGCCAGCAACCATCCGCGCTCTCAGTGAAACGCAGGGACAATTGAGAGTATTCCATTAACCTGCCATGCATGTTTTTGGAATGTGGGAGGAAACCGAAGTACCCGGAGAAAAACCCACGCAGGCACGGGGAGAACATGCAAACTCCACACAGGAAGCCAGAATTGAACGCTTCACCTCTGCACTGTGAGGCAGATGTGCTCACCAGTCTTTCACCGTGACACCCATCATTAAATAATCTAATATACCTGTATACTGTAATTAAAAATGTAACCAATGAATAGAAAATATCTGAAAAACTTTTCATGTTACATATTTACTTTACTAAAAAAATGAAATGTCATTAAATAAAAAATCTATTACATGAATCAATTTAACAAATGCATATTTCAATAAACAAAAAATATAAATAAAGATTTGAGAAAATAAATACCAATGCCATTAAATAAATAAAAAGTTATTGAAATATTAAAATTGGTCATTGAATAAATTGCCTTCAAATGTGGGGGGGGGGGAAATCCCTTCAAGTTTCCACTTCTTCTGGTTTATAGCAATACCCAATGTACAGTATCAATTTTTCCAAAATGGCATCATCCTTGTATCATGAATTCTCAGTATTGTTGGCAAAATCTCACACTAACACATTAAGTGTTACGCCACCACAGTTCTGGCCGTGGGCAGGATGAGACTGCGACAATATTTCCATTGAGGAACTTATGCTCCAATGCACTTCCCTTGACAAACACTTGGCTCAATCTGTCCGCTTCCTGCTTTCTTTCTGCACACAGGAACATCTTGACGATCACAGAAAATATTTGCTTTAATCTAAAGTGCTGAAAATAATGGAGCTATACGGGGTGTGTGTTATTGCAGTATTTCCTAGTTTAGCTCAATTAGGTTATTTGTACAGTAGTGCCTTAAAACATTTCTTTTCCCACCGAATTGATCAGTAGGCTGCAACAGAGAGACTGGAAGAGTCCTTGAAAGGCATAGAAGTGGATGTCCCGGGGAAAAAAAAACCTCAAGACAAAAAAAAAAAGTAATGCCGCCAGTTTTCCATGATTCCCACCCTGTTTCCACTTCCTAATTGTCAAACGTTCTGTTTTATGTCAATCACAGTGGCTGTTACATGTCCGAACTTGGTGTTGAACACCCATTTGCAAACATAAAAAGTGAAGCGGAAGTTAAAGAAGTACGTTTGTCGACCCCAACCATTTTCTGAGCAGATCTGGGAGAAGGGAAAAAAAAATGCA